ATGGCATACCAGCAGATGCTTTTATCTCTGTACAAAGCACCGTTTGATTTTCAGCGCAAATTTTAAAAGGTCTGTTGAAAGAAGGGGGAGAGTCAAAGAATAGTTTTAAGATTTAAACATTTCTTACAGTAAGCAAGCAAAAGACCACTGATTCTCATTTAAAAACTGTTATGGTAATAAGGACACTACAGATGGACAAAATGTCCTTGGGGAAGACCAAAGAATAGATATTGAACAGCTCCAGCCTAGGCAGCATAAGGTCAGATGATGAGCAATTAAAATGTGGACAAAATGTAATTGATAATGAAATGCATTACTGCAAATGAGGAAAAGTAGCAGAACTAGTCTGTATCTTCTATAAGTGAATAACATTTGAATGAGCCTCAGATATCCAAATGTTGCTTAGAAAGCAGTCTAATGTAGTCTAATCGACAGAAGGTTGACAGAATGTGCACACTAGCTGACCGACTGGCAAAGCATAAGAAACACAGAGCTGGAAGGTACCCCAAGGGTCATTTGTCCAACCCCCTACACAATGTAGGAAATTCACAGCCCCCCCCCCCAGTGACCACTGCTCTATGCCCAGAGGAAAATTCCTTCCTGACCCCAAAGCAGTGATTGTCATTACCCTGAGGATATAAGAAAGGGTCACAAGAGCTGAGCACTGGCTCATCCCTTCCTGCCCTCCCTCTCAAGATCTGCCTAAATTCATGAGTCACAGAACCAGATTAGTCAGACGACCATCTAGCCTCTGCCTAAAAACCTACAAACACAAGGAAGCCTGTTCCACTGAGGAACAGCTCAAACTGCCAAGAAGTTCTTCCTAATGTTTAGCCAAAAACTCTTTTATTTTCTTATCTACTGGTTTGACCTTCTGGGGCAAGAGAGAACTACTCCACTCCATCCTCTATATGGTAGCCCTTCAAATAGTTGAAGATGGCTATTATATTACTTCATATCACTGCTGGACAGCCAGTGTGGTATAGTGGTTAAGAGCAGCAGACTCTAATCTCGAGCTCTGGGTTTGATTCCCCACTACTCCGCATGAAGCCTGCTGGGTGACCTTGGCCCTGTCACAATTCTCTCAGAATTCTCTCAACCCCACCTACCTCACAAAGTATCTACGGTGGGAAGAGGAAGGGAAAGCAATTATAAGCTGCTCTGAGACTCCTCAGGGTAGAGAAAAACAGGGTATAAAAACCAACTCTTCTTACTTATCTCCTCTCCAGGTTAACATACCCAGTTCCTTCAACCTTTCCTCATAGGACTTGATCTCCAGATCTCTCACTATGTCTGTCACCCTCCTCTGGACATGTTCCAGCTTATCAACATCCTTCTTAAACTGTGGTGCCCAAAACTGGACACAGAACTCCAAGTGAGGTCTAACTAGAGCAGAGTAAAGTGATATTTGCGTGATCTGAAAACTACTTTTGTTGATGCAGCCCAAAATCACATTTGCCTTTTTAAGTACCATATCACACTGCTGACTCATGTTCAGTATATGATCTACTAAGAACCCTGGATCCTTTTTCCATGTACTACTGTAGTACAATGTTCCCTCTACGCTGTGGAGTCTTGTGAGCAAAAATTCTACTTTGTGAGTTACTGGCATTAAAGTTGTGAGCGAGTGATTTGGCTACTGCATAAATTAGTGATCTCTGGAGCCATCCTTCCTGAGCTAAAACAAAAATGTATGAGACGGAGGCTAAAATACTGTGAGCTAGCTCACACTAACTCAGCTTACAGGGAACACTGCTGTAGTGAGTATTTCTGACCATGGTTTCTACCCAGAATATCTTTGAATTCATTAAAATTAGCTTTTCTAAAGTCCAACCTATATGTCTTATTATGTACCCAAGATTCTAAATTCCAAAATTATATGGCCACTACTACCAAGGGTGCCCACTATTTTCACCTCATCAACCAGTTCTTCCCTGTTGGTGAAGATCGAGGTCCAAGACAGCAGACCCCCTTGTTTCTGTCTCCACCTTCTGGAAAATGAAGGTGTCAGCAAGACAAGTCAAGAATTTATTAACCATTTATTTTTAACAACTTCCAACAGGAATCAGGGTAACTGAAATCTCCCATGATCACTACGTGCCATCTCTTTGACAATTCTGGTCTAGGAGTGTATCACCCACGTCTTCTGCACAGTTCGGCAGTCTACAATAGACCCTCATCACAGTATCATTATTATTTCTTACTCTATTTTTACTCAGAGACTCTCAACTGACCTTCCATGCTGTAAGATATAGTTACAGTGTAATAATTACAGTATTTTGTTTATTTATTTTATTTTATTATTTATTTTATTTCACTTATACCCTACAAGTACAACAGGATTAAAACAGTTAAGGCACCAAGTGCAATAAAAATAGGACAAGTTAAAACAATTAAAACAAAAACTTGCATCTTGCAGGATACATTAGGAACTAAAATACTCACTCCCTATTGTATATTGCGGTGGGATCAAAGAGAGGGGATGCCATGGGCCAAGATGTTCCAGGTGGCCAGTCGGCCCAACCCGGTGGTCCTGCTCTGCTGTTACTCAGTGGTGGTGGTGGCGGCGGCTCCTACTCAAAAGCCTGGTGGAAGAGCTCCGTCTTGCAGGCCCTGCGGAACTGTAAGAGGTCCCGCAGGGCCCTGATCTCCTCCGGGAGCTCATTCCACCAGGTAGGAGCCGCCACTGAGAAGGACCTGGCCCTTGTGGTAGCAAGTCTGGCCTCTTTAGGACCCGGGGTTACTAGGCGGTGTTGTGACCCCGACCGAAGTGCTCTTTGGGGCCTGTATGGGGAAAGGCGGTCCCTCAGGTATGCCAGACACTGGCCATATAGGGCTTTAAAGGTAAGCATCAGCACTTTGAAGCGAATCCGGAACGCTATAGGCAGCCAGTGCAGCACCTTCAGCATTTTGTTGGTGGGTGTCCATTTAGGGACACCCACCAACAACCTGGCCGCCGCATTCTGCACCAGCTGCAGCCTCTGAATTTGCGACAAAGGCAGCCCCGATAAAGTTACTGCTGATTGCTAATATTGTGATACATAAGAGTCTTAACTGTTCCACAGTGGAGGTGAAACTGATTACTTGGCATCCCATGGCAGAATAGCAGTAATGACAAAGAACAGGGACAATTCTGAACAAGCACATGCTTTGTAACAAAAGTAATGGACTGAGTTAGCTCATCCTAATAACACATACCAAAAATTAGAGAAAAATGTACCATTGACTGACTCCCCCCCCCTTCCCAAAAAGAAAAGTAGCTAAGCAGATCCAGATATGAAGTTGCTAGGAATTTGCAGTCAAATTACTTCTGTTGCTTAAGAACAGCATTTTAAAAAAAATCTGCCCCATCTAATCATGCTAGGATACTCCAGCAGCTCCATCTGCAGAGGCAAGACTTTAGGTTAACAAAATGAAACTAAACCATACCATACCATGTCAACGTTTTCAGAATGAAGCAAAATGAACATGTCTGTACTTTTCCCAGTATCGTTTCTCCAGCATTGTTTAAAAAAACGGATGTTACTTTGATTTCAGGCTTATCAAAAGGAACATCATGTGTCACGTTTACTGTAGAATAACTCTGTTTTGACTACATGTAGTTCAAAGTTTCAACCCACACCTGCTTCATGAGAGTATCCTCTGAAACTACCCCTGCACTATCATTGCAGGAAGCCTGTTGCACTGATGCATTTTAATGATCATTTCAAAGAGTATTCATTGCACTTCCCTCCAATTATCCTCATGTATTATGCTAAAGGTACATGGCAACACTGAGTCTTCCTGTCCACACAACCATGATTAATTCTACAAGTACATTCTTCAGCTACATAAAATGTCCAAATCTTGTCCCCCACCTTACACTTGCAGCCAACTTGCATGTGAACAAAAAGGTCCAAGCAAATAAAAAGAACTGAATACATATGTGTTTGAGGGCTGGTAGGAGCCTAACACTATAGACTGAAAACTTAAAAAGCTGCAAGAGACCAAGATCACTTTTACTATTTGTCACAGAAAAATACTGATAGTAAAGGCCTGGAAGCCAGATCCTGTCCCAAAGCAATAACCTCTCGTGAGCTGACAATGTACCACCCAAAATGCAGAGCACCAAACTCAGCAGTATATAGATGTATCTATTCCACTATATCTAACTGTATATGGACACACATCTTATTTTCAGACTTCACTTACAAAGTCTGATCCAAGACTAGAACAGAGTACACAATCACAGGCAATAATTATTAAATGCATGTGAAGTCATACAAGGGACAATTGTACAAGGGACAATTTTTCTACCCCACAAAAAAGCTAGCTCTGGACAAGGACTGAATTTTCAGAGTATCTGTATTATGCTTTATAGGCACTGTAACAGAAAAATGACTTTAGATTCACAAAAAAGCTTTAACATGATAAACTGTATTCCTTTTATTATACATCAAAGGGCTCCAGCCCCAACGTCTTTTAGGCTTGAAAACTTCACCAATGGGAAAATTGAGTTGAACTGAAAGTTCTGTGTTAGCATTTGAATTTACACTCAGAAGAAAAAAAGTCAAGGAGATTTGTACAAATGGAAGACAGATATAGAAGCTACATGGAAATTATGCCTGAGAGGGCGGGATAGAAATTAAATAAATAAATAACATGACAGAACCTTTTTCCTCCTGCACTTCACAAGCTAGGTTCTAGAGAAATTGGCTGCCATTCTGACAAAAAGTGCATTCCAAGTAGTCCATTTTCTTCATGTTCATATTGGTTGTTTTGATTTTTTTTTTGTTAATGGCAGTGTTATAAAACAAGGATAAGCTAGAATTTAATATTCTTGGTTATCAAGGAGGCTATCCATTTTGAAGCTTTAAGAAAGTGACAAATATATTCAAAGACAAAGTAACTAGAAGAGAAATGTCAGAAGAGAGAAGAAATTCAAGTCCATGTGCTCACATGACTGTAGTGTTAATATTCTGCAGAAATAAAGGGAAATAAAAGATTAGGTTTAAACTTACTATAAGTCCATCTGCGTGCTTCTCCTCATTACTTTGGTCCTTAAGGAAAAATGTTAAAAATATTAACATATTGTTATAAGTATCACTGTATAAATGACAATGATATATTTCTCTTGAGAAATCTGTAGTACAGTCACCTACAGTAATATATCATCACAAGAAATCACATAACTGCATGAAACCTTGTCCTTTTTGCCATTCTTTAAAAGACCAAAAGTCTTTGAATGCAAAATATATGTCATCAAATAGGCACTACACTAAATAGTTATTAGAACAACCATTGCACACTATCAAGAAGCAACAACTGTAAATGCTTAAACAGCTATAAGGAGAAGCTCATGAATCATATTCCTTATTGGTTCAAAAAAATTTACCATCGACGTGTCTTCTAAATAGTTATGCCATAGTTGTAAAAATCACTTCATTCAGAGGTTCATCATGAATACACACTTCAACTGCTTAACATATGACTGAGAACAAAATATACTTGCATCACAATTCATATCTGACCGTGTGTATGCTTTTTTCCCTGCCAGTGTGTAAGAATGTGTACTCTCTGTCAAGGGGGAGAAAGACATATGCAGGAATAGTCCAGGACTACTCCAACAAATGGGACATATCTGGTAGGGTCAATGGGGAGTTTGCTGTTCTGGAGCCCCACTTCTGCCAGAATGCAAAATGAGATACAGATACTCTAAGGAAAGATGGGTGTCTGGCATAATGGTCTATGCAGGGAAAATATAGAGACTTCCTGATGATGTAGGTATGCCATTACTACAGCCATGCACTTTGTGGCTACCACTGTACTGATAAACATGCCAAACAGCAAAACAGAAGAACTTTCAACACTGGGGTCAGATGGAAATATGAAAGTAAGCTTCTCTGGAGTGTATAGATACAACCATATCCCTTTGGTTAGGAACAGAATAGAGGAGAGAGAGATCATTCAAAATTTGAGGGAGGTATAAAACTTATCATGCATTGAGGTTTAATCTTGACATAGAACCCCCACTTTTTTGGGAGGGGTGAAGCAATGGGAATAAAAGTTGTTCTTTGGAGTGGGGTAGGGAAGAACAGATTGTGTAGCACTCATCTGTAAAACACAGTCTCAAAGCAATGTAATTTGGGCTAGTAGTTCAGAAAATTGTGATAAAGATATGTGGCATGGAGGTTAGTCTAACTGGGTTTTGTTTGATCTGCTAGGCCACCAGATAGTGTTGGGCAACATGGCTACACTGCAATCTGGAGATGGAGGTAGACAGTCCCAATGTTAGTGCAAATGTCAGTCCTTAAGTATCAGTCAACTCTTATAAGAGATGAAGATCTGCATGAGACTACAGAGTATTGGCTCCATTCTGATGCAAAGTCTTGGCAGCTAGTATTAGTCCTAGGCACCTCTAGATGATGAAAGGCAGGAGGAACCATGATACCTTTAATGGAGTAGAAATCTCTGATATACCAAGGTGAACAACTTCAAGGAGAGTGATGAAAACAATGTGGTGAGGTCACATGGGCCTCCTGGGATGTATCTTCTTTTAGACAATTCGAAGCTGAGTTGGACTGCACCTCTGGAGATATGCTACATTCTGGTGAGGGAATCCAATGGACTGAAAAATCCCTTCGTTTGTCTAGAACTGGCTGCAGGGAAGTCTCTGGGTCATCCATGGCTTAAGTACTGTGGTTTGAAGTAAAGGCTATTCTGTAGGTGGTCATATAACCGGTTCAGCATGGTAGAAACAAGTGGTATTTTTTGTTGTTTCCTTGTATCTTTTCTTTGGTTCATAGGAGAAAGAATGGGCTCAATACTTAAACATTACTGTTCTCTATCCTGTCTCAGCTGTTGTACCAAAAACAGTTCCTTTGTAACCAGCACTTTCAAGTAAAAGACACAGTACTGGAGGAGCCAAGGATGGCTCAGGTGATCTTGTCAAGACACATTCCTGAAGAATGACTTTCTGCTGAATGGAATTATTGAACAGTGTTACCTTGGTGAATTTATGGCATTGTGGGCTAGACTCGGTTGAGTACTCTTCATCTAAGCAGGAAAAGCAACAATTGATTGTGACTGTCCCTGCTGGGTAATTCAGTATAATGCCACCAACACTTTAAAACAGTGGACTATGCACCATAGATGTGTGGGCTACTGAAGGGAAGGAAGAACGACTTCAAAAGGGAATTAGATAAGCATATGGAGCAGAGGTCCATCAGTGGCTATTAGCCACAAGGTATAGATAGGGACTCTGGGGCAAGTGATGCTCTGTCATCTTGGTGCTTGGGGGGGTGTGTCAACAGTGGGAGGGCTTGTAATGTCCTGGCCCCACTGGTGGACCTCCTGATGGCACTGGTATTTCTGGCCACTGTGGGATACAGAGTGTTGGACTGGATGGGCCTTTGGCCTGATCCAACATTGGCATCTCTTATGTTCTTATGTTCTTAAGAAAAGAAAAAACGAAAAGGATACAGTTATGAAATGACAAAAGGCCTAGCTCCCAAGGTTTCTGTGACTGAAGGGCACAATATTACTGCTGAGGTAGACAAAGAACCCATTTTCACCCATCTTCAAACTGGGTGAACTAGTACCAAAATATTCTAGTTTAGCTATGGAAGTTCCAAACAATACTTAACCCAGGCTCAAGATTATATAGGTGTGCCTGCACAGAGACCACAAAGAAGAAAATGAGAACATACAATCAAGAAAATAATTACACAAAAAGTAAAAGCATTCAGCTGGCACAAACCTAGATCAATCTCAGTACCAGGCAAATGCAGGGGCTGCAGAGACTCACACAAGAAGCTGCCTATACTAAGTCAGTGTACTGGTTTACAAAGGTTAGAATTATCTCATATGACTGGTAGCAACTCCCCAGGGTCTCAGGTTTCCACATCAATAACTACCTAATCCTTTTAATCAGAGATGCCAGGGATTGAACGGTGGCCCTTCTGCATGCAAAACAAATGTTCTGCCACTGAGCCAGAGCCCCACCCCATAGATGGACCCCTAGGCAAAGATGCTCTCTAGGGTACCTAAAGTCCAGAACACATGAATGCTTGATTGCAACAGGTATGCTTCTGCTACACCATAGTGGCATCTTGCCAAATTTCCCTGGTCTCACAGGTTGACTTAGACCTCCAGAAACATATACTCCTTGCTTTTTGATAGCCTGAAAAAATAGCTGTGGGGAGAGAAAAACAGGTTGCTTATCTATAACTGATGTTCTGGAGAAGGTGACATTAGAATATACAATGGCAGGCATACAAGAAATGAAGCAGTTCCAGAAGGGGGCAGCATGTAAAATCGAGTCAGATAGGAATGTGGGGGTGTGATGGAGGCTGTCTAGCCTGTAGCTGACAAGCAACCAATCCATATGCCTAAATCAGTTTGAAAAGCCACTACAACATACAATCAACTTGGAGAGGGAACATACTGAGGGAATAGTTACCAGTGTGCAGTTCGAGGCCTGATTCTTGATGAACAGCAAATATGTTAGTTATGTGACTCTTGGAAATCAAAAGCTGGTAAAATGAACCCTGTCTCCAGGGTGATAGAATAGAAGCCCCAAATATCAGAGGCTCTAATCTGGTTCAAGTCATTCCTTCAAATAAATATGAAACTGGCTCTAAAGTCTCTGTGAATTGTTAAATTAATATATATACACAACATTCTCTCACACTGTAACTTAGGAAGATAATATTTTTATCTGAGCCAAAGCTGAAGTGTTACTTTGTGTCCTGTTCATTGAGCTTCTGACTGCTTAATAATTTTATATTATTGGTATTTTACATTTATGATTATATGTTATGAGAGGTTTTAATTGTATTTTTATAAAATATCTGTAAGACACTCTGAGCCCACCTTGGCAGGGATGGCAGGGTATAAATTAAAATAAATAATATTTTTAATTTTTTTAAGCTCAGTCCTGACAGAAAAGTATCCAGAACCTGACAAAGGTTAGTCAAATGCAAGAAAGGGGGCCAATATTAAAAATTTAATGAAGGAAATATATAAAAAATACATGTATTTATTAATCACAAATTTTAAAATTAAATAAGGGCCCAATCACACAGTATGTATAAATAACAAACGATAAAACACCAGGGCTGATCAATCTGACCTGACGCGTTTCAGCCTACATAGGCCTTCCTCAGAGGTCAATAGTGAGGAACATATTGACTATTATATAAATATAGTACAATCATGTAAATACAAAGTATAAATTCAATAAGGATCAGAAGCAAGTTGTTTCAAAATAAAACCACCAGGCACAGAGTAAAAAGTACAAATGAGGCCTCTAAAAGTGCAATCATATGCCAAGTGGTTCTCAGATATAAACTTCTGGTCCAGAAATTGCCTTCCTATGGTTGTAGAGCCAAATTGTCCTCAAGCAAAGAGCAGTGTCTGACAGAAAAGTAAACATTTTACCTCACATTAGAGGTATTCTATAGCCCTCTAAACTATTTACATATGCTACCATAGAGTATCACCTCAGAGGAGGGAGAGGGAGAAGGTATATAACAGTACACATCTAAACTGCCCCCAAACTACACGTTATCATGGGGGAGTTGTATTCCTTCCTCCAGAATGCTGTTCTTAGGCTATATCCATCTTCTTCTCAGATGTGCTCCTATCTATCCAGTATGATAGATCCCTAAAAGTTCCTCTGATTCAGTTTGTGGGACAGTCACTGCTTACTTGCACTGCCAAAGGGAAACAATGGTGACACAGGAAGACCCATTCCGGAACCTCTCCCTCAGACAGAAGGACAGGCCCTTCAGTGCCTTGAGGGGCACAAAAAACTGATGGAGCAGAATGACCAAAAAGGAGGTATATTTTATTTATTTATTATTATATTTCTACCCCGCCCTCCCTGCGAACGGGCTCAGGGCGGCTCACAAAAAGGGCAGCACGTGCCAATATAAAACAGTAAAACACCTAAAACATATAAAAACAACCGTTACAAAATAAAGTGCTCAGTAGTGTTATTAAGCATTCAGTCAGAGCAAGATGGAAGCCTGTAGAGATGAAGCTCCGAGCCCGATTC